TAGGGGTGACCACAGAATTCATGAAGTTATTCTAAGAACTGGCTGGTATGTAGTGAACGAAAGCAGAGCTTAGCTGGCTCAAAAAAATATTTATGGTCATCCCTCAAAACGACCACCAAGGTCAGTACGATAAAATGGAGTCAACTGGAGCGATAATACATGAAGGAATGAGTTCTTTTCCCTCCCCCACACACACCCGTATCGTCACAGGGGGTGACCACAGTGTTCTGCCTTAATTTGTGGCGTTTTTCTAAGAACTGGCTGCCATGTACTGTGAGAAATCAATCGATCTTGCAAGAATAAAATTTGGACATCCCTCTTCTAAGAATTCCAATTGCGTGTGTTAGTGTGGGCAGCTCAGGGCAATATGATATTATAAACACAGCACATATCACGTCTCTGCTGTTTATAAATTCATAGGAAAGAAAACACGCCATTCATAACAGTTTGAAGGAGGAAACCACTACCAGAAGCAACATGATTTTGCTGCAAGACAGGCATATGTAACGATGACTTAGCACAGCTAAACAAATGCCTCATTAGATACGGCTCTCCTGACAACAGGCCAGCGAAAAATCTAACAATCTACAGCAAAACCATCAATTATTATGGGCGTTATAATATAGGTGTGCAGCTGGACGAAACATAGACGTCGAACCCCCGCAGACGATTTAAATACCTTGACGAAACATACACGTCAAACCACGCTGAACGGTTAAGGGACATCTCCAGTAACTCAAGGCAATATGTTTTGCTTTACTATAGAATAAATGTACTCATCACTTTTAATGTGGCTTACAGAGAAGTTAATCCATTAATGCATATCCCTTGTGAAGCCAGCATTACAAATTACAGAATAGGGCTTACTTGGGTTTAGCGTCCTGAGCAATTTTCTTGAGTGTTTCAGACATGTTGGTACAGCCACAAAATTCAGCAAAATCCTTTCCAATGAACAAAACATCAGCCCATGGTATGAGGTCCTGCATTTCTGCACGAGGCTTTTCAATTTCAATGGAAATGGGCAGAGCCTTATGTCCCAGTCCATGGCCTCTATCATGCTCAGAGATATGATTCTCATTCCAAAATTCAACCAACTCAATCATCGAAACAACCTCTTCCACATTACGTCCCTGTAGGACGCAACAAATAACAACAAAATATAGGAACAATGACATCAATATGTTGCATGCGCCACTTAAGATCATTATTCTACATATCTGCAAGGCCACTCAACTGTACAAACTGTTTCTGCAAAAGAGGCAATATTATTACTATAAAAACAAGCTAAGGAATGGAGGCATACCGTAACAATTTTGTCATGTTCACTCTGTTATTGCTTCTGCATTTTCAGTTTGTGAATCCTACCTTTCAGTTCTCTCTTACAAACAGTTATAATGATGATTCCATGAAGCACATCAGGACTGAGATCATGCAAATTATAGATAAACAGGATTTCTTTTACCCTGAATTGCAGTATTTTGCTGAAACAGCTGAAGTACTTCTTTCTGTGTAGCATATCATGATCAAGAACAAGAGACTGCAGTGCAATGACCAGTTATGCTTTATGCTGGACTTGAGGCTTTCAGAGTAGTGCCTGTGAACAGTTACTATCTTCTGGCATGTGATACCATGTAGTCTAATAGCCGACCAAACTGCTACCAGACTACACGGTGCTGCAACACAGACAATGGCGACTGTTCATTCCCATCACCAGGGGAACCTCACACAACCGCGTAAGTCCATCAGTTCTGCCATCATACTGGGGCAAAAAGTTGGATATTACCTTTGAACTGGTACACTCTTGCCATTAACCTTTACCGTCCTAATGTCACAAATGAATGACAGTGGCAGCAACCCGAGTTGGCCTAATGTCATTGATTTATGACACATGGCATGTGCACTCTTTGTCAGTGCTGACGGTTTTATGTTGGGTTTGAAACCAAAACAAACCCACGCAGGGTCATGTCAGAGGTTCATTCCTTAGCTCTGAACATAGAAATCGTTTATCACGGTACTGGCTTCGATAATATTTACGTTTATATATGAGTGTTCGTGACCTGGTCAGCCAAATATAGCCCAGCTTTGTTCTGAGAACTGAAGGGGAAATATTCGTCAGTGCTTGCAGATCAGTGCTTCAAGAACTTTCAAGAAAGTGTGAAGTATTCAAGGAATCGTTTTCAGTGGTGAACTATCAGTTTGGAAGTCAGTGTTGGATTGTGTAATATTTCTTTTTCACGTAAAAAGGTGAGTGTCAGACTATCATATATTTGTAAGTTTTGAGGTTTTCACGGCGATGACTATGAAGAAAGTCGTCTTCTGGGATATGACGCCGTGTATTCGTGGTTTTTACCGACGTTTCGGAGGAACGTATCGCCTCCATCTTCAGGGCAGATGGATCGTGTTGCGAATATAGAAGCAGTAGCATCTGTATTCGCAACACGATTCATCTGCCCTGAAGATTGAGGTGATACGTTCCTCCGAAACGTCTGTAAAAACCACGAATACACGGCGTCATATCCCAGAAGACGACTTTCTTCATAGTCATCGCCG